CTCTAAGTTCTCTCTCTTCTCTCTCTCTCTCTCTCTCTCTCTCTCTCTCGCTCTCTCTCTATCTCTCTCTCTCTCTCTCTCTCTCTCTCACTTGCACTAAGTTCTCTCTCTCTCTCTCTCTCTCTCTCTCTCTCTCTCCTCTCTCTCTCTCTCTCTCTCCTCTCTCTCTCTCTCTCTCTCTCTCTCTCTCTCTCTCACTCACTTGCACTAAGTTCTCTCTCTCATTTGCTCTAAGTTCTCTCTCGCTCTGTCCAAACGTTCCCTTCCCTTCTCTCTCTCTCTCTCTCTCTCTCTCTCTCTATAGATATAGATATATATATATGTATATATATATATATATATATATATATATATATATATATATATATATATATATATATATATATATCGTCGCGGTTGCTATAGTTACGACTACAAGATAAGTTGATCTTAAGTTTTAAGTGCAGTTGATGAGGTTAAGTTGGCCGACTTAGTTAAGTATTTAGGTGTTGTTCCTTCCCAGACTGCAGCTCCCCCCTCTGGGTGAGATGAGGGGGGGGGGTAGAAGGAGGGAGGGGGAAGAAAGGAGGGAGGGGAAGAAAGGAGGGAGGTGAAGAAAAGAGGGAGGGGGAATAAAGGAGGGAGGGGGAAGAAATGAGGGAGGGGAAGAAAGGAGGGAGGGGAATAAAGGAGGGAGGGTAATAAAGGAGGGAGGGGGAATAAAGGAGGGAGAGGAAGAAAAAAGGGAGGGGAATAAAGGAGGGAGAGGAAGAAAAGAGGGAGGGGGAATAAAAGAGGGAGGGGGAAGAAAGGAAGAAAGGGGAAGAAAGGAAAGAGGGAGGGGGAAGAAAGGAGGGAGGGGAAGAAAGAGGGAGGGGGGGGGAAAAAAGGAGGGAGGGGGAAAAAAGGAGGGATGGGGAAGAAAGGAGGGAGGGGAAGAAAAGAGTGAGGGGGAAAAAAGGAGGGAGGGGGAAAAAAGGAGGGAGGGGAAGAAAGGAGGGAGGGGAAGAAAAGAGGGAGGGGGAAGAAAGGAAGGAGGGGGAAGAAAGGAGGGTTTGGGAAGAAAGGAGGGAGGGGAAGAATGAGGGAGGGGAATAAAGGAGGGGAATAAAGGAGGGAAAGGAAGAAAGGATGGTGGAGTGTAATTCTTAAACTTAAAAGATTCCTTATATTTCCCACTACGTAAAAAATGCAACAATTTTGTTTAACTCGAAACGTAAAAAATGCAACTGTATGGCCTAGCCAGAAACGTGCCACCCCCAACCAACCTCTCTAACCAATCGAGGCCGATACATAGAAAACGTTAATATTACGGTGCTTTAATGTGTACTAATACGTCGCATATATGACGGATTGGCCAATTCCATTAAAAATGTGTCGTATGAGGAACTGAGGGTTGTCTTGTCGTGTTTGCTAATCACCTCATTCGACGTAGCTGGGTGATTAGATTCCTTCTCTTTCAAGTCCAGTCATGGCCATTACTTCCTGGGTAAGTCCAGTCATGGCCATTACTTCCTGAGCAAGTCCAGTCATGGTCATTACTTCCTGAGCAAGTCCGGTCATGGCCATTACTTCCTGAGCAAGTCCAGTCATGGCCATTACTTCCTGAGCAAGTCCAGTCATGGCCATTACTTCCTGAGCAAGTCCAGTCATGGTCATTACTTCCTGAGCAAGTCCGGTCATGGCCATTACTTCCTGAGCAAGTCCAGTCATGGCCATTACTTCCTGAGCAAGTCCAGTCATGGTCATTACTTCCTGAGCAACTCCAGTCATGCCATTACTTCCTGAGCAAGTCCAGTCATGGTCATTACTTCCTGAGCAAGTCCAGTCATGGTCATTACTTCCTGAGCAAGTCCAGTCATGGCCATTACTTCCTGAGCAAGTCCAGTCATGGCCATTACTTCCTGAGCAAGTTCAATCATGGCCATTACTTCTGGAGCAAGTCCAGTCATGGCCATTACTTCCTGAGCAAGTCCAATCATGGCCATTACTTCTGGAGCAAGTCTAGTCATGGTCATTACATCCTGAGCAAGTCCAATCATGGTCATTACTTCCTGAGCAAGTCCAGTCATGGCCATTACTTCCTGAGCAAGTCCAATCATGGCCATTACTTCTGGAGCAAGTCTAGTCATGGTCATTACATCCTGAGCAAGTCCAATCATAGTCATTACTTCCTGAAAAAGTCCAATCATGGCCATTACTTCCCCCGGTGCAATTATAATCACGACCATTCATTCCAGTCCAATCACATGATTTCATGTGCAAGTCCAATCACATTCAGTACAGCATGCGCAAGTCCAGTCAGGTCCAGTAGTGAGGGGTAGCGTGTCTGAGGCGGTGTTCGTCTGAGGCGGTGATCGTCTGAGGCGGTGTTCGTCTGAGGCGGTGATCGTCTGAGGCGGTGTTCGTCTGAGGCGGTGTTCGTCTGAAGCGGTGTTCGTCTGAGGCGGTGTTCGTCTGAAGCGGTGTTCGTCTGAGGCGGTGTTCGTCTGAGGCGGTGTTCGTCTGAGGCGGTGTTCGTCTGAGGCGGTGTTCGTCTGAGGCGGTGTTCGTCTGAGGCGGTGTTCGTCTGTAGCGGTGTTCGTCTGAGGCGGTGTTCGTCTGAGGCGGTGTTCGTCTGAGGCGGTGTTCGTCTGAGGCGGTGTTCGTCTGAGGCGGTGTTCGTCTGAGGCGGTGTTCGTCTGAGGCGGTGTTCGTCTGAGGCGGTGTTCGTCTGAGGCCCACCTCCAGCTCACTAAATACTGGGAAGAGTAGTTCTGCTCTTGTCTTAATCATAGATTAAATTATCTGTGCTCTTTCTTGTACTAAATGAACACGTAAAACATATTTTTGTTGTGTACGTTTTGTGGGGAATAGCTGTGAGTACTCACCTAGTTGTACTCACCTAGTTGTGCTTGCGGGGGTTGAGCTCTGGCTCTTTGGTCCCGCCTCTCAACCGTCAATCAACAGGTGTACAGGTTCCTGAGCCTATTGGGCTCTATCATATCTACACTTGAAACTGTGTATGGAGTCAGCTTCCACCACATTGCTTCCTAATGCATTCCATTTGTCAACCACTCTGACACTAAAAAAGTTCTTTCTAATATCTCTGTAGCTCATTTGGGCACTCAGTTTCCATCTGTGTCCCCTTGTGCGTGTTCCCCTTGTGTTAAATAGCCTATCTTTATTAACCCTGTCGATTCCCTTGAGAATCTTGAATGTGGTGATCATGTCCCCCCTAACTCTTCTGTCTTCCAGCGAAGTGAGGTTCAATTCCCGTAGTCTCTCCTCGTAGCTCATACCTCTCAGCTCGGGTACTAGTCTGGTGGCAAACCTTTGAACCTTTTCCAGTTTAGTCTTATGCTTGACTAGATATGGACTCCATGCTGGAGCCGCATACTCCAAGATTGGTCTGACATATGTGGTATATAATGTTCTGAAAGATTCCTTACACAAGTTTCTAAAGGCCGTTCTTATGTTAGCCAACCTGGCATATGCTGCTGATGTTATCCTCTTGATATGAGCTTCAGGGGACAGGTCTGCGTGATATCAACCCCCAGGTCTTTCTCTCTCTCGGACTCTTGAAGTATTTCATCTCCCAAGTGATACCTTGTATCTGGTCTCCTGCTTCCTACTCCTATCTTCATTACATTACATTTGCTTGGGTTAAACTCTAACATCCATTTGTTCGACCATTCCTGCAGCTTGTCCAGGTGTGAGTGTGTATGTGTGTGTGTGTGTGTGTGTGTGTGTGTGTGTGTGTGTGTGTGTGTGTGTGTGTGTGTGTGTGTGTGTGTGTGCGTGCTGTGAGCTTGGAGTAAACATTTACAAGAGTAGTGTTTAACATTACTCACAATGTAATGTTTCCCTGACTTACAACACAACTATATTCTTGTAACCTTTAGTTCTGAGCCAAATATTTGACCTGGATGTGTTTCGTGTTTTGTTCTTGTTTGTTTTGTTTTGTTTGAGAGAGGAGGACGATGACCCTCCCACTTGGAGAAGAAAGGGGGTACTCCCTCCCTCCCACTTGGGGAAGAAAGGGGGTACTCCCTCCCTCCCACTTGGGGAAGAAAGGGGGTACTCCCTCCCTCCCACTTGGGGAAGAAAGGGGGTACTCCCTCCCTCCCACTTGGGGAAGAAAGGGGGTACTCCCTCCCTCCCACTTGGGGAAGAAAGGGGGTACTCCCTCCCTCCCACTTGGAGAGACGAGGATTTCTTCCCTTCCATCTCTCAGTAATCCCCATCTTCATCTTAATGCTTCTCTGGGAATTTTTCAATGAACTTTTTCTGCCGATTGAAAATGCTCCACTTTCGCTCGGCTCGTTTTCTCAGCTAATGCGTCGCATTTTTAACGTTATCGACCAATCCGTTAAAAATGCGACGCATTAGTACAAATTAAGCACAGTGTTGACGTTTTCTATGTATATGGGGCCTCGGCAGGTGAGGTGGGTTGCTTGGGTTCGTACACACCTGTTGTTGATACTGCTTCTCTTCATCCTCATGTGATTCCTTGATTCCCAATCATTGCTTTTTCCTTCTATTTCTTGCCTTCCGTAACCCAACTCTATGATATTAAGGGGAGAGAGAGAGAGAGAGAGAGAGAGAGAGAGAGAGAGAGAGAGAGAGAGAGAGAGAGAGAGAGAGAGAGAGAGAGAGAGAGAGAGAGAGAGAGAGAGAGAGAGAGAGAGAGAGAGAGAGAGAGAGAGAGAGAGAGAGAGAGAGAGAGAGAGAGAGAGAGAGAGAGAGAGAGAGAGATAACCCTAATTTTTCTACAACTCTCTCATGTCGCCAAAATTAAACTCTTGACACAAATCCATGTTTATGATGTATTTAAACCTTAAAATATTTGCCGATCCCTCCTTAAGAGCGTCGCGTGTATATGTGCCTCAGCTGGAACTTAAATACATCTTCCTAAGACGTGTATCACTTCTTTAGGCTCTTAAAAAGTAGCATTTTACACATTCCCGCGAAGTTCACTTTATTATTGCCGTCTTTGGGTGTTAAGAAGAGTTTTCAGAAGGAATTTAACAAATTAACTACCAAAATTAAAAAAAAAAAAAGTTTCTACAACATGAACAAATTCTTACATGAAGAATATTCCCATCGATATGAAAGAGTTCTCACTACATGACAAATGTTCACACTATATGAACACAGTTCTTACGATACGAATAAAGTTCCCTCTGTGAAAGAGTGAACTTTACTTTATCTACCCTATCAATTCCCTTCAGAATCTTGAATGTGGTGATCATGTCCCCCCTAACTCTTCTGTCTATATGAAAAATGTTCAAAGTATATGAACACAGTTCTTACGATACGAATAAAGTTCCCTCTATACGAACACAGTTCCCACCACACTAAAAATAACCCGGCGATACGAAACACGTTTCAGCGATGGCGAAAATGGCCCACGGTACGAAAATAAATTATTGTGTATAATCTCGTGTGAGCATTGAGACTGGCTGTGAATACGCTCCTCCAGAATGCTACTTTGATGGGTGGTAATCAGGCGATTGAGCGTTTTAGAGAGAGAGGCAGAAAGAGAAGGAGAGTGAGAGAGGGGTGAGAGAGTGAGAGACAGAGAAGCAGAGAGAGAGAGAGAGCGCAATACCGAGTACTTCGTAATGAACACACAGGCCGTTCCACCTGTCAGCTCTCACAAAAGCAGGTGATTCCAGCAGCTAGATAATGGTGATGGTGATGGAGGTGGTGATGGTGGTGGTGATGATGGTAGTGGCGGTGATGGTGGTGGTGATGGTGGTGGTGATGGTGGTAGTGGCGGTGATGGTGGTAGTGGCGGTGATGGTGATGGTGGTAGTGGCGGTGGAGTTTATAGTGATGGTAGTTGTGGTGGTTATAATAATTGTGGTGATGGTGGTTATGGGGGGTTACGTTGATGGTGGTGATGGAGGGTTGTGGGGATGGAGGTTGTGATGGTGGTAATGGTAGTGTTGGTGGTCACCATTACTCCACCACTGGTGGATGACACCCACCACTGGATGCACCAGCTGTGGACTCCTCACCACCTGCATGAGAGAGCCTTCTATTACTCTTATTTCCTCCCTGGAATTTTACATAGCAAGTGCTCTGTATCGTGGCTTGTATAGACGAAGAGTGTGTGCGTGCGTGTGTGTGCGTGTGTGCGTGTGTGTGCGTGTGTGCGCGTGTGTGCGTGCGTGTGCGTGTGTGTGTGCGTGCGTGTGTGTATGCGTGTGTGCGTGCGTGTGTGTGCGTGCGTGTGTGTGTGTGCGTGTGTGCGTGCGTGTGTGTGTGTGTGCGTGCGTGCGTGCGTGTGTATTCCTCCATATTTTACCTGTCAATTTCTACCACCACAACAGAACTCGTCTAGTTACGAGATACAATATATTTAATATAGGACGAACACTGAGAGGAAAAGGCCGGAGGGAATAGGAGAAAGTGGGGGGGGGGGGTTCACACACGCCCCGTCACTATTCCCAGCTGAGGATAGATGGATCCCGGGAATCGAACCCTCCTTGGAACCGGCGTTCCATCCCGGGCCAGGGGGGAGTCAATATTTAACCAGCGCTTGACGGAATAACCTATGATGCACCGGGATGACTTAACTAATGACACTCAGCCCCGCCATGACTGTCATGGCGGGGCTGGCATGCCAGGATGTCTGAGGCAGGCAGGGTTGGTGTATACTTCACTATGGGTGTATGTCTCGGGTGTATACTTTACTATGGGTGTATGTCTCGGGTGTATACTTTACTATGGGTGTATGTCTCGGGTGTATACTTTACTATGGGTGTATGTCTCGGGGTGTATACTTTACTATGGGTGTATGTCTCGGGTGTATACTTTACTATGGTTGTATGTCTCGGGGTGTATACTTTACTATGGTTGTATGTCTCGGGGTGTATACTTTACTATGGTTGTATGTCTCGGGTGTATACTTCACTATGGGTGTATGTCTCGGGGTGTATACTTTACTATGGTTGTATGTCTCGGGGTGTATACTTTACTATGGTTGTATGTCTCGGGTGTATACTTTACTATGGTTGTATGTCTCGGGGTGTATACTTTACTATGGTTGTATGTCTCGGGTGTATACTTCACTATGGGTGTATGTCTCGGGGTGTATACTTTACTATGGGTGTATGTCTCGGGTGTATACTTTACTATGGTTGTATGTCTCGGGGTGTATACTTTACTATGGTTGTATGTCTCGGGGTGTATACTTCACTAT